GTAAAAAGAAATTAGCATTTAACAAAATATGAATTTTCAAGGCATCACTTGGATTATTTGTAATAACAGTTATTAAAGTCATGTGGTCCTTTGCAGCATTTACAATATTACGATATCCTGATGTGAACTGGATTAGTCCCATTCAAATATGATAAATGATAACAGATTTGGACCAAAGTAACATTTGCCATTTATCATTCAATAATCAGATAGAGGTAACGGAGCCCTTAGATTAACCTTAATCCCTCAAACGGTACTACAATGTCCATCAAAACCTTCTGGCGCTCATTTAATTCCACCATAAGCAAAGAGGTCAACAGCTAATGCTCTGTCCCTCTGATGTAAGTTCGTTTATTTCAAATTACAGAACCAGCCTCCTCTGCATCATTCTGTTCAGATTAGTACCTGCTGCTGCTGCTGTGTGCACTTCATTAATTAGTAACTACGACTTTCTGCCTAATTTTATATTCTGCACAGAGTGTGCAGTGACAAAATGATTTCTGATTGTCTGATTGTGTATGAGCAATTAAGTGATCAGAAGCCTACAGATATTATCAGGCAGTGTTCCTCCTTTTTGCCAGCACCTCCTACAACCACAGCTCGCTCCGTGCTGACGGAGGGAGTGTAATTATGGTTGTCAGTCATTTTGTAAGAGTACCTGCCACTGTATTAGAATCGGGGATAATGGAATGCAAGTATTCTTCCGCTCTCGGCAGCAGATTCAATCTAGCCCTCGATCCATGAGATGAGATAAGGAGCTATCAGTCAGTCAGTTAGCTAATCTCATCCTGGCTTAGGCTCCATGGCCACACTGTCAACAATCTGATTAATACTAGCCTGCAGACTGCGCACACTGCCAACTGGCTGCCACCCAACACACAAACACACACATATACACACACACACACACACAGACGTATTTAGCAAAATAGTTATCACACACATGAATGCCAAACCCTAATGCTGTACTGTACATGAAGCAGCGTACTATTAATGTCCTAACCGCTGAACTGCAGGTAATTCTTTCCCGAGCATTGCACCAAGATCCTGCATTCTATCTATCTTTGTACAATAATTCATACAACTGTACCAGCCGAAGTGAGCATCACTGAAAGTTGCCAAATGATTCGTCTTCCTGTTGGAGCCAAAGTGCAGTTCATTTAGCAACAATTGGAACTTTAACAATAACTACAATTGTTCAACTGTGTGGCACTGAGCCTGCAGCATCACTACAACAACACAAAGCACACAGACTGTGTGTTCTGCCAAGTGCCTACTACACACACACACACACACACACACACACACACACACACACACACACACACAAGCTAAAAGCAGGACAGAACCACACACGCAAGTCTCGGTTGCTACGTAACACACAATCACAGCGAAAACGATTCGTACATGTCAAAACAAAATGACCCGTTTTAGGCTAAATTAGTAAATCGATACAAAGAGGTCAGCGCAGCAGCTGTGTTGGCTGCAGCCACTAGAATTAAATCCTGCCATGAAACGGTCAGGACCTTGTGGGGAGTCCAAACTGTAAGAAAAGCCCAATCTAATATATAGGTGGTAGACTATAAATAATGCAATCATCTCTTTAAAAGAAGTTATTATTGTAAGTAGTTAGATTACAGCTGCAAAGGTGAGCCACATCCAACCGACAATCTGCACTTTGGAGGTCCAGAGCAGCAGGAACAGACCTCAGGCAGGAGACACAGATGTAATTATATCTTTTTTCGAAGATAAATTGAAATGCTATTCTGAGTTCAATTCAAATACTCTGAGCCCCATTAAGATCCAATGGAGCTCACAGTGGATGGTGACTGGGGAAGTGTTTCACCCAGTCCTGCTCTTCATGGAGCTGTTTGCTGTGAACCTGCACAGTTACGTCTATAGGAACACTACGAGCGTGGACGTGCATGCGCTCAATAAAACTCACCCTGGAAATGTGTCTGTTACCTGCAAAATACCAACTTTTTATTGTTTTTAAATTTGAGGTGAAAGTCAATACCATCCATCCAGATCCATCCATTTTAGCACAAAGTATTGTCAGTTAACGGTTTCCTCTCTGCAGGCTTTTCTGGATGAAGGAACAAGGCTGAATGACTCATCAGACTTTTTTATGCCATTGTTCAGGTTTGCAGGTTTTGGTGCAGCTTGCACAAAGTTATGCGTTTTTGTGTGTTGCCCTTGGATACGAGCTGCTTCTGACACAGGCCTCTGCCATTCTTTAAATACCACTTTTTGAAGAACTTCCTATTGAGACCGTGTTATAGAGGTTTGGGCTGAATTACAGAGTGTTCTTTTTAATTACGTTAGTCTTTTTATGAGCGTCACTGATTCAGCTGGCACGGTTGACATTTTGTGATGACACTATTTCCTTTTTATTTTTAACCATAATTTGCAACTCTTTCTGTTTTATTTTTTTTGTTTTCTTTTTTCAATATTTGTCTTCATTCATGTGGAGGACAAAAGTTTATTTATTTGAGTTTTATCTTACAGCCCACTGGATCAGGAGGCCCAGAATCAGAACATCTGCTCTGTGAATCATTTCAGCCTCATTCAGCTTAAAACACACGTTTACAGAGATTTGCTTTGCTTTTACATTTTCTCAATTTAAAGAATCTATTTTAGGAGTTTCTTTTGACATTAGGAACTGCTGAATTATAAATAAAATAAGCTAAATAAAGTCGAGGTCTAAGGCGTAACGACTGACTAATATTAGTCATGATCACACACACACTAAGTTTCCACCCTGTCTGTTTTCTCAAACTCCAAAAAAACAAGAACAAATACGTCTTTGGGGAGGTTTACCTCTCTAACAGCACATCCCAGGAAGTCTGCCTAACGCTACATAAGTTTCTTTAAACTTAAATTAACAAGTCCAGTGAACTCTCAGCTATACATTCATTCAACTCATCTTTTTAAGTCAAAGTGATTTAAGGTAAAAGAACTCCAGTTTTTTAGTTTTAAGGGGTCTGGAAATTAAAATCTGACGCTTTAGGTTCGGCTAACTACAAACTAGCAAACTCCGTTTGACCAGACTTCTTCATCATGTGTTACAGTGAGTGGAATGAACGTTAATAACAACAGTAACAGGATTCACACATTCATGTCAGTGAAAAATAAACTGTATGCAAACAAGCACTCTGAGGAGACGCCACTACAGCAGGTTTTTAGTCGTCTCAACAAACTGTCACAGTGCAACAAGCTGCAGATGACTGTAAACTGTAGCACTGACACAGTGACGACTTGATCTGATGACTAAATTGGGAGTCCATTGAGTCAAACCTCATCCAGAAATGAAGGATTTATTATCTTGTAGATGGTCACAGAAAAACACATTGAGAAGAAATCTTCTGTTGACCCTTGAAGCAGGTGGGCCTGCCAGCATATCACATCCTGTAGATTACAGTTGGATGTGTTGTGTTGATTGTAATGAGGGTACATACGCTGCACTGCAGCTACAGAAGCAACAGGTGTGGTTTTATTGAGCCGTTGGCTAAAGCGAACACAAACTGATCATCAGCGTTGACTTAATGGCTCCTCTGGATTGTGACTGATCATGAAGCATTTCAGTTATTTTGTCCTGCAGCTACAGGGTGATTAAAAAAGGCAGAACAGCACCTGTCCATGACACGAGGGTTTTGCTGTTGGAATAGACACCTTCCATCGTTAACAGCATGCAGAGTCTCTCCCACCTCCCTCCGCTACCATCTGAGCCAAGCTCCGATGTAGGCGCTCACCTTAAATAGCTCAGAGTAGTGCTACGTCAGATGCTGCGTCAAGGATTTAAAAATCCTGTGAAATCAGTAAAACTATAGAGTTTAGTCGGTGGAACAAAACACAGGTTGAATGCTGGTGTGTGATTATCACCATGGTTACTCCTCCAGGTATTGTGGTGAAAAAAATGGTCATAATTAACCTTAAACACCAAACAGCTAAACATGTTTCAATATCTCCTGACATTTTACAGACCACAGCTCACTGAATAATCAAAACTCCAATCGACATTTTATTAAACAGTGGAAATTGTCACTAGTTGTAGCGCTGCTAGATGCTACTGACACAAACTCAACTCTGTACTTTCTTTCAGCTCCAACAACTGTTTGAGCATCTTTCAGGTCTTTGTTTTGGTTTTGCTGCCCACAGAGAAAGATCTGATGAACCCACCCAGCACCAAACAGCAGGCAGACAAAGTTACCAGCTAGTTGATGATTATTAAAGGATGGAGCAGAATTTAGTACCTAAAGAGACCACTTGTTGTAGGCCAAAACAAAGCTCATAGACTGACTATTGGATTTAGATTTATCAGGTTTCTAGTCACACAACTCAAAACAGAGGCCATTGTTGCTCCCTGTCTGCTGCTGCTTGAATGGTTTCTCATCACGTTAGCTGTAATAAATAAGGTAATGATACGTGAATGTTAAGACATTAAAGTAGGTTGAACTGTTGAGTCAGTCAGGGGGCTGGAGCCTGTCCCAGATGGTGCTGGGCGAGAGGTGGTGGACACCAGTCCATCACAGGACAAACACAAAGAGACAGACAGACTCCCACTCACACCTACAGTGAACTCTGAATCACCGATTAACAGAAAGGTCCGAACCAACTGGCAAGCTCAACTCAAGAACCTTGTTGCTATGAGGCGACAGTGCAAACCACTGGCCCACACATCAACATACCACCAAAAATCCCTCCTTAAAGTAACTGTTCCAACCTTCTTACATCACAAAAAAGCACATTTAAATGAGATTAAGATCTCAGCAGCTCACAAAGGGAATAGTAATTTCAGAATGTTGGTCCTGACACTGTACATGAATGTTAAATGGTTCGATGTTTCCTTTAATAAAAGGAATGAATATTTCACTACACTTTAAATGAGTTTTTTGCTAAAATTCCACTTTCAATTGCATCACTGCATATTGCATACAATTATAAAATGAAAGCTATGCAGTGATTTTGCACAGAGCTTTGCAGACTCTAAACACACTCACCTCTCTGTCCCGCTCAATCTCCAGACCGGCCTCAACCAGGTTGGCCTCAAACTCCTGTCTGATCAGATGCATCTCGTGGTCAGCAGGCTCCGCCGACTCGCTCTCTCCCGCAGCTCCCAGCTCCATGAACACCTCGCCGACACTTGCAGCCTCCCCTCCTGGAATGCCGTCTCCTCTTCCCGCAGCCACATCCGAGCCCCCCGACAGAGGAAAGTTGCCGTTGGAAACAATGGACAACCGGTCTTGTGAAACTGACGTACTGGCAGGAGATCGTATGGAGCCGTGCCGCCTCTGATGAAAGACTAGAACGTAGTCAACTTTCCGTTGGCCGTCACAGAAGTAAAGGCCCTCTCCGCTGACCTGGGGGCTCGAAGTCGCTCCCACAACCTGAGGGGACATCAAAAGGGAATAAAAAACATGCATTTAGTAGCAGACATCATTATGCTTTACAATAACCACAGCAAAGGATGCCACTCATACACCACAACAGCTAAAGACAAGCATACACAGCACCTTTAAGCAGCAGTGGAGTTATGCAATAACTGTTTGAATGAACTTAAACATCTACTGCAGTGTCAGCACACGCAAACAGAAGTGGCTTTTGGCAGGTTCTCAAAAACAATGAAGTGAGAACCTTCAGCAGCAGAGTGGGCAGTCAGCTCACCTTTGGCTGTTTTATTCTTTATTTAGACAGAGAGAAAGTAGAGAGGGAGACTAAACATGGAGGACACAAGAGGGATAGCTCTATAGGCTCTGGGCATGATGGGAGCTTTTTAAACTGGCAAACACAAGGCTTCTTGCTTTTCAGCAGGACACGATGCTAAAATACGCTGCAGGCCCTCTTTTCTGCTCTACGTTTGATAAAGTCACACACAAACGACAATCACCTACATGCTAATTTTACGCTAATTTTATTGGCGTCACACTAATAATTTGACTGTAAACAACTGTAAACACATGCTAGTAATGTTCAGTAGTTAGCTAAATAAGCTAGCTAGCATCGTTTAAAAGTCATGTTTCTGTTAGTTGAATAACTATTTATTCAAACTCAATTACATAAATTGGACATTTCACAAATTCACTACCAAGTTCATGTCTAAAAGCTGAGCAAAGAGAAGACACTGTGAGCTTAATTTTTTGTATATTTTCATCCGAAGCTTATCTCACATGTTAGCATTGATGTTAGCAGAGGTGACTTATTCTTTGCTTCAACTTCTTTTTTTTTTTTTTTTTACATGTGTTACAAAAATATGTATTCTAAAGTCAGTAAAAGAAGATTTTTGTAATAATATTAGTCATAAAAACAGCGCTAGCCGAACTATCCTGTAGGCCAGTGTTGTTTGGGTTTACAGATTTAAAATAGTTCTTCCTTTCCTATTAGCCAAACGGCTAACAGCTAGTCCAGGTGTTTCTGCTGGACTTAGCGTCTGTCTTTTATGCTCTTGTTTTTATGACAGGAAAACAGTGTAATAAGTCAAAAACATGAGAAACATGTACATTAAATTACTCACTTCATGGTCCTGTCAAGTAAAGATTGAAATACTTTCATTGACTGAACTGTCAGTTTAACAAAACTATTGAATTTCTCTACAGGTGTTTTCACTTTACAGGCTCATTAGTTGCACCTGTTGGTGGAAAAAACAACCTCGGTGTCTCTCTTGAACATGGACTGTAGCTCCGTATGTTTCATTTAAACATTTTTATTTAAATATCTGACTCTTCAGTGTGACATTTTTAAATCCCTACATAGCAAAGTGTTTGGTGTAGTTTGGTACATCCCAGCGTAGCTCCGCCCCCTGCAGCTCTAACCAGCATTACCTGATTACAGGTGGAAATTATTCCAATATTTAATGCTTCAAGTGTTCTCCTGCTTCACATACTGTTAATCTATCTTTATGTTTGCTGCACTGTGTACAAAATCTAGAGGCTAATTTCTTAATTAATTACTGTCATTAAGGGTTTGCTGTCACGTTTTATTTACTAAGGAGATTGTACTGTGAGGAAAAAGGACATTTGACTTTGGTCTAGTTTGTACCAAGAATGATGCAAAGGTGCACTTAAAAGCTCAGGAAAACCTCTGGGCAGAAACATTCCCTGGAGGTTGCGAGAAGGTTCCCAAAAGGTTATAAATCCTTTACAGGGCCTCACCTGTTTGCTGTTTGCTGCTGCATGCATATCATGTGTTTGTCTGAATATAGTGTTAACTGATATTATTATCATCATTACTACATGATGTATATTGTATTGTCTTGTGTGTAGATTGGATTAAATAACCAACTACACAAGTACAGGACTAGCTACAGAGTCACTTCCAAGATTTATCTCCAACAGTTATAAAAATCTGAAATTTAAAATGAGCATGAAAACTCTTCCAAAGGGTCGTAAAAACATCGTTACCCCAAACTGGTCCCGGGTTCAACAAACTAAGTCAACACGAAGCGGAGGACGGCAGCAGCAGAGCGCAGCGGTCCATCTGGTGTACTTACTGGGATCTTGTCTTCACTCGGGGAGATCTGCATGCTGTTGCGCTTTAAAGACACACAGAGTAGAAGAAGAGGGAAAGTTGGCGGTTTTTGCAGTAAAATACAGCCGGATTCACCACCAGCACCACCACCTCCATCCCCATCATCCCCTACAGACACCTGAGGTCACTCCAGTTAGTCCACAGTCCGACAGCAGCGACGAGCTCAGCCAGCGCAGGTTTCATCGCTCAGCGCAGATCTGTGAGATGTAAGAGCTGCTCGGATCCACTCAGCAGCCTGATCACATGCTGGTGATACCCATCTATCCAACTGTGGGATCTGGAGGCTGCCTGCGCACCGCCGGCGCTTTTGGCACGGAGCGTGCCACACTGCAAAAAATGTCCGCCTTCAATATGTTCTTCAGTTCTGCTGCTCGGTGTCGAAATCACAGCTAGATTCACACGTTTCTGCCACATTGTGGAGTCTAGTTGTAAGAACTGTAGGCGGGGTTTGATTTGTACAAGTTTTGGCATGTTTCTCCAAATAGGCTGTGCGTAAAAACACGTGACTGGAAGAAAACTAAACGCTGATTTGGAATAAAAACGTGCGACCCCTTCATCCAGGTCAAAGCGTTTTCCTTTCTGTTAAATTAAAATGTCTTTATTTGTAGTATGAAAAGGCAGGTGAGGTGGATATTTTTTGCAGTGTGCAGAGAAGGAGCAGCCTTGGCTTCTACCACAGCTCACTGATGTAACCTGTGCTTTCCCAGCATAATCACTGAAACAACTATATATATAAAATGCATTAGAGGTATTGCTCTTGTCTCTGATTTGTTCCCAAACTTGTGCTGCTTGTGGTCTCTTCAAATGAAGCACATCAGGTTATATGACAACAGTGGGAGCATTTTAAGTTTTCCTTCTTAGATTGTTTAATTTGAGGTGTTTCTGGAAGTACAAATAAAGGAAGGCAAACAAAAAGCATAATTTGGTGTTTCAGCAGTATATATGTGCTCATCTTTCATTCTGATCATCTCATGTTCACTTACATTTATCAGCACACAGGTTGGGACTCAGATCTACAGCATAATGAAGGTGTATCATAGAATAATAGACTCTGCACCCTGCGTCTCACACTTAATAACACACAGACAGAGATACCTTCTGAGGCACCACTAACCCCAGGCATCACCATTAACCTGCTTCTAATATCGGCCGTAATCCTCAACTGAAGTCTTTTCCCTAAACTGACATTAACCTTGAACTTGATGTTTTTCCTCAAAGTCACTCTGAAGTCTCTTCCCTCCGTCCACACATCTGAGTTATAACTTGAACGACTACGAGAACCTTCTCTGTCCTCCATCAGTATCACAGATTGTAATATCTGAAGTTATTTTAATGAGACGTTTTGCAAACTCAGAGAATGATGCAATGTGATGAAACTCATTAACACACGCAAGAAATATTACATGATCAGCTCAGTTTAACGAGTCGCAGTAGCAGCCGGCCCAACTTTGAAAGTCTAATCTTCTAACTGCTTTGCAAAAAGATGAATAAAGCAGCATAAGGAAGGATTTCCTCTGGCCCTGTATTCACCTGTAGCAGCTTCTGTGATTCCTCAGCCCAGGGCTCGTCTTTGCAGGGCTCAGGTTCCAGGATGCTGTAGTACATCGGGTCCAGTCCGATCCCGGAGACGTCCCTGGTCAGGTGGAACAGGGCATCGCTGTGGATGGACGAGGACTCGCTGAGTGCTGTGGCCACTCGCATGAAGCCTGCGCCATTGGGCCATGACTCTGGAACACATTTAGTTTTTAAATTTAAGTGGAAACACACATTGTTTTAAGTTAAAATCCTGATTCCACATTTGGTCACTGACAACTTTGTGTTGTAATGTCACTGTTGCACAAAAAGTCTTCTTCCTGGAGCTGGAGGTGGTGAAGAGATTCATCCATCAGCAAAACTATTTCCCACCAGGGACAGAAATCAGAACTGTACCAGGGTGAAGTTGGAGCTTCCAGAATGATTCAGCTGTATTGATTTAGGTGTATTTTCACATTTTGTCCTGTTCAGCTTTTTTTTGTATATCTAGGCAAACTACACCAACTTGCAGAGCTTGCTTGGCATTCAAGCACTTCAAATTACTTAAAAGATAATAGTCCTATATCATAAAATGACAGAGACAACAGCAGGACTATAAAGTTCATGTTGACACATTTGGTTGAAAAGATCTGCTTGCTGACAATTAACTAATAGTTATTAAAGTAAAGGCTGCCTCACCATCACTCCCATATCTGAACCTCACACTACAGCCAGCTGCTGGTTAGCTTAGCTTAGCACAAACAGTGGAAACAGAGCCAAACGGCTAGCCTGGCTCTGTCCAAAGCAAAACTCCTGCATAAGGTTCACAAATAAACACATTATGTCTCACAGTATATGAAAATAAAAACAATTGGTGGGATTTCATGGGAGCTTGTACATCTGGATATTTCTTGGCTGGGAGCAGTGACGTCCTGAGATTTTTATTTTTTTTTTAGTAATCATGGCGTTACCAGGCAACCAGGGTTCAGGAAAACACTGCTTCCAGCCAGGAAACAGTGAAACAAAAGGGCTGTGTGATAAGATGTAATTGGTGCAGCCCCGGTTTTCCAAAAATCTGCTTCTCCAATCCCTTCCCATTCTCAGTTACATTTCAATGCAAACAGATTTTGTTGATGGATTATGTTTGTGACGTATCAAAACTGCAGATTTTATCCCAAACTGTACTATTTTCCTAAACCTAACACAGTGATCTTGGTGCCTAAACTTAACCAAGCTTCTAACAAGATGTTTTTGTCATAAAAGTGTGAACCAAAGAGTGTTTTTTTTCCTAAGACTAACTAAACAGTGAGTAAAAACCGGATGTGCACATGAATGAAAACAAAACTTAAGTCAAAGAATAATGGCTCCACATGGGATGTGAACCTCAGCGTCCTGAGTGAAAGTCCAGTTCTTGGCTTAGCCTATTCAGACTTTGTGGCTTCTTCAGACTAGAAGTCTGTACATACGACATCAGTCTTTCTTTACAGTGAGAAAATGAGGACACCCGGGATCTTTCTGCGTGGAGTCTCCATGTTCTCCCCGTGCAGCGTGGGTTCTCTCTGGGTTCTCCAGCTTCCTCCCACAAGGTCCAGAAACATGTTGAGGTTAATTGGTGATTCTAAATTGTCTGTAGGTGTGAATGTGAGTGGTTGTCTGTCTCTAAGTGTAGCCCTGTGATAGACTGGTGACCTGTCCAGGTGAACCTGCCTTCACCCTGAGTCAGCTGGGATAGACTCCAGCCCCCTACGACCCTAGTGAGGATTAAGCGGTGAATAGATAATGGATGGATGTAATGTCATTTTTTGTAGACAGAGTTGAATTGGCAAGCTTTAGAGGTGCTGATACACAGACTCTGTTTCAGCTCGGCGAGCTGTTTCTCCTGGTTTTCAGTTTTAATGCTGAGGTAAGCGAACCATCTGCTTGCTGTGGTCTTATATTTATTGTGTCAATCTGCTCATCTTTCAGCAAGAAAGTGATTGAACCCTCCAAAGTGTTAATACTTTGCTTTACACCTCCTTCAGTATCAAGACAGTCTTTTCTCCTCAACAGTGCCAACTATGAGTTACCGATTGTTGGCCTGGCTGAATAATGGATCCTATATTCATCATTTTTCCAATTACTGAATTGCTTCTTTATATAACTTATTCATAATTTAAAACTGTGATACTTTGGCTCTGATTTAGCCATCTCCTTCTATCCATGCTCACAGCTCTGTCTGACCAGCTGCATGTCACAGGTAACAGCATATTAACACTGAAGGATAAATGTTGAAAAGGTTTTCCTTATTTTCTACCTAAACATGTGTAAAACATAAATACACAAAAACATGTCAATAAAGTTTTCTTTTGATGTTAGTATTATTCAAAACTTTGACTGTAACATTTTTATTTTTACTGCATATTTGTATGAGTTCCAAATACTGATTATTGCTCTCCTTGGTTACTCATAATTGGTGTTAGTTGGCACCTACTATAAATACCGTTGTGTATTTCTGGTACCAAACAGCTCTGGTTAAGCATTTAGAGTTCTATCATCATGAAAACATCACTCTTGCACTTTCCCCACATGCACTGCACCTTCAGTACCAGTGGATATATGTATCACATTTCTCAACAAATGTCAGACTTCATGGTTATGTCGCAGTCTTGTGCTTTCTTGGCTTTGAGGATCAACCTTTTCCAGCTACCTCTCACTGTTTCTCGGAGCTGTAAATATGCAAAGTGGCCTGTTCGAATCTTTGTTTCCCACTGTGAAAATTGCTGCGCGTGTCAGTCAATCACAAGCCCCATCTCAAAGCACTCCACAAAGGACAAGCCTACAAAGAGGCGACTTCTCAATCTGCCTCAAAGCACAAAGAGCACCGTTTAACACGGGGTAACAAAAAGCATGAGACAAGAAACATAGTAAATGGTGTAAAAGTCCCTCCTTTTATTTTTGCAAATGGAGCGGGGGAAGACCGACGCGCCGGCAGAGGACTTGTTGCTCAGCGTTTAGTGTTGATTTTCCTCTGAGGGGAGTGAAAGTGCAGCGGTGACAGAACAGATATTTCTCCATCTTTATCAGTCTGACTGCCGTGCTGTCAGGAGCCGCAACAGATTGCTGTTTTTTTGTAATAAGGTTACTGTGTGTGTGTGTGTGTGTGTGTGTGTGTGTGTGTGTGTGTGGTTATTTTAGGGATACAGACAGCTGTAGCCATAGTAACGCAGAAGGCCACGTGCTGTGCTCTCATTTCAGCACCACGGACAGCTCCGGCTCTCTCTCTCCTACTTGGTGTCGCTCTGCCATTCAGACACACACAGTTGTATCACACTTTAACACACTGCACGACAATGAGATCTGTCAGCCGGGTCAAGAATGGGGAACGTTTTGAGGAGTTATAAGAAGAAATATTTGACGGCAAAGGTTTCTGTTCCTTACAGCTCACTTGACAGCAGCACGGTAGCCTGGAGGTTGGAGAGGCAGGACGGGACTGGAAGGTCGCCAGTTTGAATCTGGCAGGAGGGGACATGAACGAGGAGAATCCCCCCCTGTAGAAATATAAAGCAGGGCATCGCTGGAAACGGGGTTCCTATCGCTAGAGTTTAAATTAAAGATTGATTTTGTACAACTAACTGTTGAAGAGAGAACTCTGAGATCGGTTTGGAGGAGCATCAGAGGCCTTAAAGGGAAAATATGGGGGTTCAAAATGTAAAAAAACAAAAAATAACAGCTTAACTTCTGTACTGTGTCATTCACCATACATTTAGAAATGTTTGTAAGAAAAGATGTAGAGATGTTTTCTGTCTAGAGATTGCATTGCAGTGGGTACGAGGTGAACCAGTGATGTGCTGTGATATTTAGGATTTAAAGTTACAGAGCAGAGCAACTTGAAATAAGAATGAACATTTCTTTGTTACTATAAATCCTTTCTGTTTGTTTATAACCAGTTATGTTTGTACTTTAGCATCATGTGACTGCAGATGTTTGAGAAAAGTCTTTTTTTCTCACATTGTATCTCCTTTGGGGGCACGACATTATTTAAAAAAGGAGTCCTAATTTTTACTCAAAATGTAGTTTTATATCCGGAGCTTTTGGAATCTCACCAGCTCTTGGTTCTCAGAATGATTGTATAAGACAAACACTGTCTCTATTTTCACACTAATTTCTAATGGCAGAGACAAAGGGCATCTTTCAGGGAACAGCTAATGGGCAGCAGCACAAAGACTTAACGCTGATGCTTTTATCACATGTTGTCTCAGCTCTGGCTCGTTGATTGTATGGAGGCTTCTGCCAGAACCCTGTCTCATTTGGCTTCATGTTATTAACTGTTGATTAGGAACGAATGCTTCAGTGTTACAGCTGTAAAGATTTTCTGCATCTTGATGTGACTCCTGCATGGAGGGAGCATTGTTTTGTTTTGTTTACAAGGTTTCTGTCCCAATCAATTCAAATGAGCTATTTTTATTGCTCTGCTGGAATTTTTGACCTTCACTGTGCAGAGTAATGCACTGCTGAGTGTGACACCAGAAGGCTGCTTCCACATTTATCTACTGAAAATCTCTGACAATGTGTTCAGGAGGTAGCAGGGTGGAATCGGAATGTATATTCAGGGGGGGACGCAGCCCCTCGAAAATTCATCCATTGATCCATCCATCCATCCATCCATCATCTATACACCGTTTAATCCTCACTGGGGTCATGGGGGGCTGGAGTCTATCCCAGCTGACTCAGGGTGAAGGCAGGGGACACCCTGGACAGGTCACCAGTCTATCACCGGGCTACACTTAGAGACAGACAACCAAGCACACTCACATTCACACCTACGGACAATTTACAATCACCAATTAACCTCAACATGTTTTTGGACTGTGGGAGGAAGCCGGAGAACCCGGAGAGAACCCACACTGCACGGGGAGAACATGGAGACTCCACACAGAAAGATCCCGGGTGTCCTAACCAGGACGCGAACCAGCAACATTCTTGCTGTGAGGCAACAGTGCTACCCAACTGCGCCATCTTGCAGCCCCTCCCAAATTCAAATATGCTGAAACAAAATCCCTCAGCATATTGATTGAAAAATGTCGTCATGAGAAAATGTAATTGTAGCTAAAGTTAACAAATTGGCTTTGCTATTGGTTGTAGTGTTACAATGTACTGCAGTTCTGTTTAGGATTTTCTTGCCGTACATCAGCAGAAGACGTTACTTGACT